TATTTCTGTTTGTTTTGAGCTCCTAGTAAATTAGTTTTATGAGTATATATGCACAAAATGGATTTGTTCCTTAATTTCACATTAAAGATTGAAATAGCCAGGAACTCGTGTGGCCCTTTAATGTCAAACTTCCCTTTTCAATATAGTAGTCTAACTAAAAGGATTGACAGATAATTGGGTTAGTTTCGTGAGACCTATTTACTGTCAGCAATCGCTTTGGCAACTCCACTCCTCTTAACTGGGCCCTTGACGTAATTCTGGCCCAAATAACCCTCTCTAATCCTCTCCTTGTTCTTGGGTATCGGTGCCTCTTTATCTGACAAAACCTTAACAACGGAAATCGGGTGGCTGAGCAATAACTGTATATAAATTCTTTTCCACCCAGAACGATAATATTTCCATGCTTGAGGATAAGCAAGGTAATTTGACTTCATTTACATTTATTTGAAGTCAAAATGTAACAAATAGTCTTTCCTCCAGTATATTAAGAATCCCACTGTAGCTAAGGGATTCAATCTTTACAGCGTCATTAGTAGGATTCTTCGCAATTTAAATGAAGATTCACTTGCGGTTGGAGCTTTTCTTCGAATTAATTATTCTTCAATCTCAATGCATTTGTGCTGAGTTTTTAACTTTACTGCATTGCATCGGTCTCATCGGTGAAATTATTACCTCTTTACTCTACATTTGTCTTGATGCTGTTGATTTGAAACGCGATTTATCGTCTCGGACGCTAGTCTAAATCCGACTTCCTCGTTAACACTAATCAACGTGTCTATCTCTGTCCACCTTTTTCCCTTCCAGTTTTCTCTTTCATTTTCTTTCAGTTGACCGTAAAGCTGGACCACACTCGCTACCATATTGATACGCGAATCGTAGCATTGAGTAATCGATCAATTTTATTTTATAAGCATTATTTTTGACCAACTGTCCAAATAAGGCACTTTTGTAATTTCTATTTTTGCATCATTTTCTTAAATGGCTTAGTCTTAAAAAACGTTTCATTACCATTGAAGATATCCGCTTTGACCTGCCCCAGTTTGGTGTTTAGTAGACTATATTTTAAGGAAGTATGAAAGAATCAAATAGAAGAAATATATATAATTTTTCTCATATAAACTAAAAACCGTAAAGTATATTTTGAGTTGTGCATTTCTGAGCCTCTAACATATTTTAAGCCCACATTTTACCCATTTCATACACATTTTTCTTGTATTTACATTTTCGTGATTTTTGTTTGTTTCGTGTGTCTGCTAACTAATATTTGCCTATAAATGCAGAACTTCTATACATTATTTTATTCTACAGTTATCATTAATCTAACGGGATCAATTTTTTCCAGTTCCATTTTCATTCATCTCTAATCTGCTTTTTATATCTAAAATAATACTTTTTTTTCTCGAGCTTGTCTTACTTTAACTCTTTTGTTTTTACTCCCTTTACCTCTATTAGGGCCATCCCCGGCTGGTCCAAGTACTGTCTGAGCTCTACACTCCGCTACTCGGCTGTTCCGTTGACCATTTGGCTGGGATTTCACCAGAGCTTGCTGCTAACACCTTTGCATCGCTAAATCGCTCCATTGAACCAATGAGTGAGATACTCGTCTCTCTCGGTGCTTATGGTAGCCTTTCTGCAGTTATGCATGCTTTTCTCGATCAAGACGACGAGGTGCTTATCATCGAGCCAGCTTTCGATTGTTATGTACCACAGGCTAAAATGGCCGGCGCCAAACCAGTCTTTGTCCCACTAAGGCCGATCAAGGTATTGTTACTTTTTTCACTCTAGGGACTCTTGGTTTAATCGCTCATTTTTTAATTTACAATTGGTCTTGCTTTTATTCATCTTTCTACGATTTAGCTTGTCCTCTGCCTCGTGCGTTTCATTATAAGATAATTGTTCCTGTGTACCACACGCGGCATTTTGCAATGTTATGTCTTTGATTGGTCTGCTTATTTCTGGATTTTGTTTCCTAAATAGAACGAATATTCAGGAAGAACAGCATTTTTATTACTATTAAATTGATTTGGGACTGAATAAGTGCATTTTATTGGAGTTTTAAACATTTTTAATAGATGGTAAATGCAAACTCGCACATATGCCTTTTGACTGATCTTGGAAGTCGCTGTTATGGAATCGTGGTTGGGCCGATAATTCAGATTAAACCTACATTCAGGCACACACGAATCACATTTTTGTTAGTGACAAATTGTATGCCAATATAATGTTTCTACATCTGAATCAACATTTATTGGGTTCGATTACTAAACTGGCTTTGGGGCCCGTTTTTTCTTAAAATTATAATCTGATAACGATCTGTCGTTAGGACTGGGGAGGAGGAACCAGAGGGCAAGAGGAGGCATGATTAGAATGAAGTTTGGTTAAACTAACATCTCAATTGACTCACGAGCAGTCCATACATATATTACACTGGAAACCAAGCACCAGAACATGCGCCAGGATTTGAAGATCAAACTACTGATTGGTTTGGTAAGAAAAAAGCTATTCAGATCCATCCACATCCACTTAACTCGTCTGCAAGCGCGTTGGGAGAATGCATAAAAGAGCAAAAAAACGAATGGGATGTCTCATCCAGATTGCAAAATTAAATTAAAATAGTAGTTAGGGTCACAGGTGCCAGCAAGTTTGTCATGGAATTATTTCTTGTACTAATTCTGTCTGTAAAGGCGAGAAAAGTCCATATATATATATATATATATGGACTATTTATGAATCAATTAAGCTGTTAGTTTAACCAGACTTCATTCGAATAATACCTCTTCTTCCTCTCCAATTTGTTCCAATATATATAGGCAGCTCTTACACAATTTCCTATGTTCCTTCCATTTAGTCAGTATACTAGTCATTTTTTTGGGTTTATATTATTTTCCCATTCATTTTCTCTGGCGTAATCTTAATCTCCAGATTAACTTCGGGTTTTTAACCACCGGATTTAGTATTCTTTTTTCGTCGATTGTTCAGCCAGTTCAGATTTCTATACTTATAAACTGTAGCATGCAGTCTTTTGGCCTGGATTGAAAAGTCTCGAACTTTTTTTACCACATGAGCTCAACTTGTTATAAGGTGAAAGTCAGTAAGTCTTTCAATCAGAGTTTTCGCCTCTCTTGATACTTGTTTTTATCATCCAATTTCGCAATAACATCAGCAAACGACTAGATTTGCCCAATATCCTGAATTTCCCTAAATAGTTTTAGAAATGCCAAATATTTTAACCTCAAGAAAAAGTTGATTTTAAGATTACATTCGAGTTAGCTTATTGGAAATACAAAGTAACAATTAATTCTAGATCATTATTTTCACTTCCTCTCTTTATAATTGTTCACTAATGCTTTTATGTTTGTTCCATTTCTCCATTCCTTGCTTCTTCCGCGCACATACAGGAAAGTAAGGGCACTGATTGCCCATCTAGCGGTGACTGGAAGTTGGATTTTGAAGAGATGGAGGCGAAAATCACGCCCAAATGCAAGATGATTGTGCTCAATTCACCAAACAATCCCCTAGGGAAGGTGAGCTTAACTAAGAACCTAGTCAGCCTCGGTCGATTAGTGTAATTAACAGACTCTTGGTTGAGTTTTTCGACAGCCTTATGGTCCCACTAAATATTGCTTAACCTTGCCTCCACAGTTTCGACTTTGTCTATGTCTTATCAGCATCCCCAATTTGATTGTTAATCGGGTTTTGCACATTTAGGCTGATATTTGTCACTTCTATACACAACGAAGCGTGTTGAAAAATCATGAAAATTCTATTATTTTTCCAATTTCTTTGTCAGCTTAGCTCTAAATCATCTAGGAATGCGGTCTAGTTTAAAGTTAGTTGTTGCTAGCGTCATTTCTTAAGCAATGTAGTCGATTGCTATGGCAACTACAACTTCGTTTCATCGACAATCCCACCACAAAAATGTGGTATGTTAGAGGCCCTGTGACCCAAGGGCATTCGTGGTAGTCTGGCGTAGTCGTTAATGTTTTGATACCCTACGCTGCTCTACCACAAACCTGGTTCGAGTCCCGCTGGAGGCGTTGATGAGATCAGCTTAGGCGATTTCGCAACTGTGGTTCAGTCTAGCCGTGATGAGAATACCTTTTGGGGAATAAGGCTATGTGAAATTTAATAGAATCATGAGGCCTACTGACATCATTGTAGGAAAGTCCAGTTACCAGTCGTTTATCACTTTAAACGAAATAGGGTGAATATAACTTCTATTTCAGATCTATTGGTAGTCTCGAAAATCTACTTCTGAAACGAAAACCTCCGCTTGTTTCAACCAATATAAAATTTATATTTTTATAAGAGCTGGGCTGAATCTTGGAATATGGCGGCTTTCGTCTCATGCAAAGCTGATTTGAGCTTTGTGCTACCATCTATTTATACTCATTTTTCGTAAATGAGTAGATTTTCGAGATTACCTATGAGAGGTCGAAACTGCAGTCCACCTTGAATGAGAACACCCTTTGGGAAACGTCAGCTCTATTCATAGCATTGTGGGAAAAATCAACTACCAGTCCATCATAAGCGAAATAGGGTGAACACAACTCATATATTTATACCCAATCTGATCGAGGGAAGGTCACCGAATCATAAAAGGTTCTTATCAAAGGCATTTATACACAAATGAAAAAGGGGATTTACAGGCAGGGAGCGAAGATCAGAGTTTTAAACAGTAGAAGACCTCGTCAAGTGGAAGCTGGTACTGCGTCCCTAATTCCCCTCAGTTCAGCACTCTTGTCCTATTAATTGATCAAGGCCATGTGAAATTCGATTTTCTGTAAATCTAATCGAAATTCTCCTTAAAGCTTAATCTTTTTGAAATATTTTGTGTGAAACTCGTTTATTTATTACCTCTATCCTAAGTTTAATCATATTGTTTTATATTTGCTAAATCCACCTTACGTTATGCCTTTAGGTGTTCACTATGGAGGAGCTGAAAAATTTAGCAAATATCTGCATTCGGCACAACCTTCTTTGTGTTTCGGATGAAGTCTATGAGTGGCTGGTTTATCCGCCAAACAAGCATATAAAAATAGGTACAATTTTTCTTACTTCCACCATCTTTTCTCTTTCTGATTCTGTATACTCATTCTCATTTCTAGTATAACGATTTACTTTATTTGTTTACCTCATCCTTCTCTTTTATGTTCCTCCGTCGCCACCATCTCATTCTAGGTTTCTTTATTCTTGGTTTGAATAACCATTTCGCTCTTCTCTTTAACTGTTGTCCCTAGTTCCACTTTTTCCCCCTTATCATTGCTTTCTACTTTTTAACTCGATATTTTTCTTAGCTCATCTGTTCACTTGCATTTAAGCCATCAAAGAAGAGTTTGACTTATTTAATAAATATCATGCTACTTTTTTAGACTGAAAAAATGATAGACTCTCTAAAACTCTGTTCCTGCCTAAAAGATGGTGTTATCGGGCTATTTTATGCAACATATACAAGCCGTTTCTCGCATAATTCATTCCTTTTTTCCTAGCTTCCCTGCCCGGAATGTGGGCTCGTACTCTTACGATTGGAAGTGCTGGCAAAACTTTTAGCGTCACTGGCTGGAAACTGGGATGGACTGTTGGGCCAAAGAATCTCATCGAAGCAATGCAGCTACACCAACAGAATACTATATACACCTGTCCTACACCACTCCAGGTAGCCCATCTTTTGTTCTTAAATATTTTTATAAAATATGAGAGCTTTGCCTTTTTCGTTAAACAGACATTTGGACTACTAAAAATGAATCATGAAAAGACTTTTTTCTGTTGCTCTTCTGTTTAGCCATATCATAAGTTGAGTGTGATATTTTTATTACCCATTATGATACATTTTCTCATAGATACGAAGACCAAGATGGTGTGGCCTTCCGTTTGGTCGCAGTCTCTTTTA